TACGGCTGCACTTGATTCAAAGAGGAATCGTGTGTTCTTATAGAACTTGGGTGCACCACGGGGAACATGTTCCATTGTGTCATGATCATCCTAGTACGTCAAACATTGATGGTGAAAGATATGGAGCTGTAATTTTTGACATTGATGATAATTTGGGCGAGTTGCCTACTATGCTGGAAGAGATTTACATGAGTGGCCTCATGGATGATCATATCGACGAAGAACCTAATAGCTCGGAGAGAGAAAATTTGGTGAAGTTCATTAGGTTGTTTGATGATGCTCGATGCAAAGTGTACCCAGAGTGTGAAAAGTTTTCCGTTTTGTCTTTCGTTATTGTGACAACCCTCACCTCTGATTAGCGTTAATTCATGATTAAGCATGATAAGTAATTAATTAAGGTGAAACCCCAAATTGATTGTGTGAGTGTGTTGTTTAGTTGCATTTCTATCTGTTTGTTACAGAATGATCTGTTCATGTTTTAATTTCGAATTGCGAATTGAAAGCCTTATCGGCGACCGATTCAGAAATTGATTTGTGTTATATGCTAATTAGGATTTATATGATTTTATGGTAGGTTTAATTAAAATTTGATTTAAAATGATTAAATTAGAATAAATAATGTTAAATTACTTTAGCTTGAGTTTATTACACATTTGCTATTGGTAGGCCTTTACAAGGCCATTTGTTTGATTTCATTTTTTTTTTTTTTTGACACCATTCTCCATCCACCTCCTTGCCCAAAACGTGAGAGAGAGGGAGAATAAGGGAAAATTTAATTCAACAAGTGTATTGCTTGAATTTGAGAGGAAATTGAAGGAGTTTTGGAGATTAGTTCATCTAGCTCAAGATTTTAGTGTCCTAAGCCCAATTGAACATCTAAGGTAAGGAAACCAAGTCCCTAGTCTTGAATTTAAGTTGAATCACCTATGATTTCAAGTGAATTGAATTATGAGATATGAGATTTAAGCTTAAGAAACATTAATTCATTCATACATGTCTATATCATGGAGTTCGAAGTTATTTTGCATGAAGTTCTTCCATGCATGTTCATATTATAGTTGTAATCTAAGAATTCATCATGTTTTTGGAAAGAATGGCTCATTTGATCATGTGTTAGAAGCTATGAATTCAAATAAACACATGCATGGCATAATTACATCATGTTCTTTTATTTGAAGTTGAATTGGTGTTCAATTGTCATACTTTTGGGCTTTGATTTTATGAAATGGTCTTTAAAACATGTTGTATTATGAGTTTCTTAGTGTTTTCCAGAAATTTGGCCCAAAGGATGAGTTTTGGCATGTTTTGATTCATGGTTTGAAGCTTGGGAGCAAATCTGGAAAACCCAGAATTTGGCTTCCTCGCTCTAGCGAAGGATTCCACGCTCGAGCGACCACCTTTGTTTTTAGAATTCCGCTCGAACGACGGAATGCTGGCTCGAGCGTAAATTATAAGCTCTCAGGTTTTGGCGTGTGTAGACGCACTCTCGAGTGACGAGACCTACGCTCGAGCGAGGAACTGTGTCTCACACTTGAACGAGCATCGAGCAGAGAATTTCAGCAGCTAGTACTTTTCACATTTTTTACAGATCGCTTGAGCGAGGGAGTCTACACTCGAGCAACCTCTCTTATTTGGTAAGCTCGTTCAAGCGAAGGAGTCTATGCTCAAGCGAGACCCCTGTTTTCAGCAAGTTTTGGAAAAAGTTTTTAAGTACATTTTTTTGCATCCTCGTTTCATCCTAGGCATTCCTAGGCCATGTTTAAGGCATCATAATGAGGATAATATTATAGAACCACACCAAGTCAAGTTAGGGGCTAAGGTATTAATCCCGAGTGTGTAATTTAGTGTGTGTTCGTTCTACAACTGTGTAGGGTTGGCACCCGAGCACGCTAATTAACCTGACTATAGCCCAGTAACCTGTGAGTAACAATGTTGTAAAGCTATGCTTAATTACAATTATTTTCTGAACAATTGACTGTACTGTTTTCTGAAATGACATTGTTTACTGAATGAATGTTTGTCCTATTTTATTAACTATACCCGTGGCATCCATAGCAATTGATTGTTACTGCTACTGCTACTGTTATTGTTACTGCTACTATTACAGAGATCTCTGTCAGTTTCAATGATTGGAATTACCACTGTTTACTGTTTTGATGGCCATCAACTGACTGTTCGGTCTATTAAGACCTATTGTACTGTTATGCTATTGGATGTACCATGTATGACTGTTATGGTTTCTAAACGAATGCTATGACATGAACTATGAGTCACTGATTAAATAACTGATCTACAGATGCAATTGACTGTTTTAATTACTGAAAGGGCATTCATTCTTAACCCCTTTACGCATTTGTTATTCACTAGACTTTAGCTCACAGTTTATATATGTATGTAGGTGGCTAGGCACCGGACCAAAGTTAGAAGCGTCGAGTTAAGCTCATGTTTTGTCCAACCAACCGTTGTACCTCACTTCGAGGTTCGGAGTCTGCTCGAGCCAAGGCTATTTTTGGGGTGTTCAAATTCACCCTTTTATCTCTATTATGTATCAAATGTTTAAGACTTGGTTATACAGTTATGGTGAAGGGATTGGATCCCTAACCTGCATATTATGTGTATCTGATATGTATATATATATAGTTATGAATTTGGATTAGTCTATAAAAGTTTTTCCCATTAAGGTTTTCACAGCTCATTAGACACATTGTTATTATTGTTTGGCTTCCGCCAACCCCTTTTATATTATATTACTGTTATTACTGTCATTCAGGCCTTTAGTAATTACGGATTACTGGCCGGTTACGATGTTAAACCCTTAGAGGTGGGTTTGGGTCATGATAGTTATTAAGATCCTTCATATTAAGGTGTACAATAAATGGAGCAACAAATCTTTCGATATGGTTATGCAAGTTTTCAAAGACATTATCTCAAAGTGTAACGAAAGAGTTCCGTGGACCCTTTATGAAGCAAAAAAGTTCTTACGTGAATTGGGTTTGGGATATGAGGCCATTCATGCATGCAAGAATGATTGTATTTTGTTTTGGATGGATAATGCGAAACAGGAGAATTGCCCTACATGTAAGGAGTCTAGATACAAGTTCAACAATCAGAGTGGTAAAAAGATTCCTCACAAAATATTGAGGTACTTTGCTTTGACACCGAGGTTGAAGCGATTGTACATGTCGAAAAAAATCGCCGCAGATATGAGATGGCACAAAGAGAAGCATGTGGATAATGGAGTGTTAAGGCATTCAGCCGATGGTCAGGCATGGAAGGACTTTGATATACAGCATCCTAAGTTTTTTGTGGAACCCCGACATGTAAGGTTAGGGCTTACCACGGATGGTTTCAACCCGTTTGAAAATATGAGCACATCGTACAGCATGTGGCCCGTACTGTTAATGCTTTACAATCTTCCCTCGTGGAAGTGTATGAAAGAGCCATAACTGATAATGTCAATGTTTATTCCCGGTCCATCCTCTCCTGGAAGAGACATCGATGTTTACTTGCAACCATTAGTAGAGGAGTTAAAGAATTTGTGAGAGCATGGTGTGCAAACATATGATGCCGCAATCGGTGAAATATGTACAATGCATGCAGCAGTCATGTGGACCATCAATGACTTCCTCGCATATGGTACCCTCTCTGGTTGGACTACAAAAGGTTACTTGGCTTACCCTAATTGTAACTGTACGGGGAGCAAATATTCCGGCGTGCCCGTATTCCTTTCTTCCGAGCTCCGTCGATGTCCGATCACCTGCGAGCAAATAACGGTGAGCTACCCGGCGGTGTGTGGCCGGAAACACCCTCCGACGGTCAAATTAGCACATACCTTCGAGGGAATAGAGAGAAGGGAGAGAGTGTTTTAGTGTAAGGATTTTCTTACAGAGATGTTCGTCTCCCTCGTATGGGGGGGCGCAGTCATGCTTACATACCCTCTGTGCCCCATATCCACTCCCTGTCATCTCCTGACACGTGGCTCTGCTATCCCATCTGTCAGCATAAACCATGCCGTTCATCACCTGCTCTCAACTGCCTGCCAGCATAGCTGGAGCTCGGCAGCCGAGCTGCCCTAGCTCGGTCATACCATGCTTCATACCTTAAGCGCCTGGCCGGATAACCGAATGAAGGACCGGGCTAGGCGGCATCTCGGCAAAGCTTAACCCGGGCTCCTCCTTTGGTCGGCCTCCTCGCCGGTCAAACAACTACCTCGGCCGACCGCGCCTTTCCCGAGCGCCGGCCTCTCGGTCTGTCTGGTCTCGACAATCCTCGGACCGAGCATCCCGGTCTGACCGGTCACTTCCTGGCCGAGCACCTTCTGCACGGTCCGGGGCAGCACACAGTTCAAACTCTGCCCGGCCCAAGTTCTGGTAGCCCATCTCCGGGTGAACAGTCGATCATTTCGGCCCCATGCTCTGCTGGGCCCTCAACTTGTTCGGTCTACACCTCGGCCCAGCACCGGAGCATAAATCACCCTCTCAGTAATATTTTCGAGTAATTAAAAAAAAATTGGGGCGTGACAGGTGTTGAGCATTCTAGTTAATACCGGTAAAAATGACAATTTGGTAGTACTTGTATAGTCTACTTGCAGACACTGACCTAGGGATTACCAGAGTCATATTTACGAACCTTGAAATAAATTGTTAAGTTTTGAACAATTGAAATTGCATGACATCATTGAGCATGATGGTTTTCAAAAGATGAAAATGTGATTTATCTTCAAAAAGGGTATAGCATGGCATGTGCATTTCATCTCTTGAAACTTGTATAAAATGTATATACTTTGTTAAGAATTTCCTACTGGGTTTTATGCTCACCCTACGAGATTTTTGTGCAAGAAAAGATGTGGTGATCCCACACAACTAGGGGCGTGGAAGTATGTGTGTTGGGAGTACAATGCTCTCATTTTGCTGTAACTCTATGTGCAAGCCAATAGCTGTGTTTGTGTGGGTTTGAATAACCGTTTTGTGTAAGAAATATTTACAATGCATGCAGCAGTCATGTGGACCATCAATGACTTCCCCGCATATGGTACCCTCTCTGGTTGGACTACGAAAGGTTACTTGGCTTGCCCTAATTGTAACATAGATGCATCATCTCAGCGTCTGCGAAGTAAGATAGGGTATATGGGTGCCCGCCGACACTTGCCCGAGAATCATATTTGGCGAAGAAGTAAGCTCTTCAATGGTCAGAACGAGCATCGGTCCAAACCTGTAGAGTTATCGGGAGAACAAGTACTACAGCAAATTGATTCGGGGACATATAGGTCGTATGGCAAGCATCCAAACAACCGAAAAAGACAACGAAATGAAAGTCCACCTTCCAATTGGACAAAAAAAAGCATTATGTTCGACCTATCCTATTGGAAAACACTGAAGTTTCGACACAACCTTGATGTCATGCACATAGAGAAGAATATATGTAACAATCTGGTTGGGACACTACTAAGCATTGATGGCAAGAACAAGGACACGGATAAAGCCCACTTGGATCTAGAAGACATGCAGATACGAAATGAGTTACACTTGAAGAGACGTTCCAATGGCTCATTTGAAAAGCCTCCGGCATCGTACATATTGTCCCCGGTAGAGCGACAAGGTTTTTGTGATTTCTTGAAATCGATTAAGTACCTTGATGGCTATGCAACAAATATATCCAATTGTGTCACCGCTCAAGGTGGAAAATTAACTGGCCTCAAAACTCATGACTATCATATCCTTCTACAACGACTACTTCCAATTGGGATGCGTGAATACCTGTCCAAGGAGATTGGGACCACACTCTTTGAGTTGGAAAATTTTTTCAAACAGTTGTGCTCAAAGACATTGAGGGTGACTGATTTGGAGAAAATGTAGGAACAAATCGTACTTATACTTTGTAATCTTGAGAAGATTTTTCCTCCTGTGTTTTTTGATGTCATGATCCACTTGGCAATTCATTTGCCTCATGAGGCTATGCTTGGAGGGCCTGTGCAATATTGATGGATATATCCCATTGAGAGGTAATACCACAAGTTCCTGAACATCCCTATTTACATATAGTATATAATGTAAACATTAACATTCAAATCATATTGGCATGTAGGATGCACGGACTTCTAAAAGGATTTGTTCGCAATAAAGCTCGGCCAGAAAGTTCCATTGCAGAGACTTACATTTCAAAAGAGTGTACGACATTTTGTTCAATGTACTTAGACGGCGTTGAAATGATGTTTAATCAGGAAGAACGGAACTATAACGGGGGTGACAACAGCCTAGGGTTGGCGATTTTCACTCAAAATGTTCGTCCGTTTGGTCTACTAACAAGGGAAACTGATGTGTCTGTAGCTGACCGTGAAAGGGCTCATTAGTTTGTCCTACACAACAGCTTAGAAGTGGAAGAATATCTAGAGTACGTGTCAAACCTGTGACGTACTATATGTGACCTATATGCTTTTTTTTTTTTAGGAATCATTCTGCAAATTACTTATGAATTATATTATCCTACGTAGGGAACGCAAGATGTTGTTGCAACAACAACATGGAAGTGCATGCGACATTGCCAAGATACAATGCAAAGAATTTCCTAAATGGTTCAAAGATCGCGTATACTAAAATTCCTTATAGTTTAGTTTACACATCAACTTAAGTTATGTCAAAAATAAAATGACAGTTTTTTCTTATGTAGATGAACCAATTGCGGCACAACAAGTCACTCGAAGCAACCGATGAGATGTGGTCACTGGCAAATGGTCCTAATAGCTTAGTGAACACATATTCGAGATGCATTTGTAATGGCGTCCAATTCCATGCTCGCAACCGTGACAACCGTCGTAAAACTCAAAATAGTGGGTTGGTAGTGGAAGGGGACCATGAAAGCCAACTCATAACGTTCTACGGCTACATTTGCAAAGTTTGGGAAATGACATATTTGTTTAGGCACCATGTTGTTTTATTCCAATGTGAATGGTCTAACACTGGTAGTAACAGAACTTTGCTTGTCAAACCACATTTCACTATTATTGATATACGAAGTCGATGGTATAAAGATGACCCGTTTGTGTTACCAAGTCAAGTGCAACAAGTTTTTTATGTGCATGATACGAATTTAGGTGCCAATTGGAGAGTCGTAGAAAAGTTTCAACAACGACGAATTTGGGATGTGCCTGAGGTGGATGTGCCACAACCTAATGATGTGTTCCAACAAGATGAAAGGGCTAGTGTTGTACCAACTGAGCCTATGGATGACGATGTGGTGTTGCGTTGAGATAATATAGATGCTAAAATTATTCCAATGGAAGTTTTGCAGTCTGATAAGCGTGTACAACCCTTGGTTGGTATGGACGATGACTTCATATGTGATGGTGAAGATGAACCGACAATAGAGGGTGACAATGAAGAAGAAGATGAGCTTGACAGTGATTTTGATTCAGATATGGACATAGAGTGTTGATGTATGGGTTCTAAATTTGGATGTGTGATAGAGTCTTGATGTATAGGTTCTAAATTTTGATGTGTGTTCTTGGTAGTTGTTTTGTCTTTTTGTCATTTTGTTGATGTAATGGGGAAAGGAATGGAGGAGATTCCCCATGTCTTAAAAAATTATAATCCCTTACAAAATTTGCTTGGATGATTGTTAAATTTAATATTAATTATTGTTGATTATATGTTTGGGGAACTAATTGCATGTGAAGGCCTTACACTTGTTGCCCCTTCTTGACCAGGGAAAAGTACGTCAAATCGTGTACGTGGTTCTACAGTTGGAAAAGGAGTGCAAAAAAGGCTTGCGAGAAAAAAATGGGAGAAACTACATGTATATGTCAATCGCATGCTAAATGCACTCACTAGATGGAATGCCACGCCTGCCACAAATGAGTTGGGCTTGTAGATAAGGCGGTTATGCCCCCTTAAGGGAGTGAAGTCATGGAAGAAAATTGATCAGAGTATCAAAGATGCTGTAGTACAGAGTATCAAAGATGACGATGTGGTGTTGCGTCGAGGTGTTGCGTTGAGATGACCTGTTTGTTTTATTCGTTATCTGATAGTGCGGCACGATCTCGTGACAAACAAATGGAGGCAATGCAATATGAGATTGACGTTCTTCAAGAAAATTTGATGAAGGAGAAAGAAGAGCGCCAGGGAGATCGTGAAGAGATGACGAGGGAGAGAGAGAGTTGATAAAAGAAGTAGAAGAAGGAAAAAAAAGCAAGGGAGGCGCAACAAGAACAACTAAATCATTTGAACTCTGTGGTTTTATGACTATCAACACTGTTGGAGGGTTCAGACAGGCATCGTCATATTTGGTAAGAAAAATTTCATTCGTATCATACTAACACTTATACATACTTAGGTTTACTTATTCACTAAATAATACTATGCATTAGGTATACCATAACAAGAGACATCAGGTTTGTTAGGTGTAATACATTGGTATTTATTTTCAATACATTTAATATAGCCTTCCCAAAAACGTTTTGTGCATTGGGTCCTTAATTTTGGTGCTGGGTAGTTAAAACAAATATGGCAAGGTTGGTTAGAATTACCTTTTTCAGGTATCCAACGATGTGCACAATCTTTATTTAACTTAAACTCTTTTGGGGAAGAAAAAAGGGTAAACTTAGTCATTTTTCTTCGTAAGGATTAAATGTGGTTGATTGGTCAAGATAAGAATTTAACTTATTGGTCAGAACATGTAGACCATTTGATTGACAAGGTTCACAATCTGAATCATCATCAGCTCCTTGAACAGAATTACACATATCAGTAGGGTCTATAATAGTACAAACACTATAAATGTTCTTGATCTAGATTGACCACCTTGTTTCCATTTCTAAGTGTTTCTAGGATTCTTAAAGGTTGACCTAGATTGTCTATACTCAGGGGGATCATTTAAATAATTTAAGGGAGTCTCAATCTTACTACAAAATCCATAATCTGATTTCTTTAGGGATTGTTGGATTTGTAATTTTACACAATGGTCTCTAACAACTCCTATTGCATGTGTCATTCTTTGCAATATAGTTGTAGCAGCATGTGGATATTGTATTCTACCAGGGAGATTATTTCATTTATCTAAAATTTCTTTACCTATTGGTCCTGGTAGTTTTTGGAAATATTTGTCACCAATTGCTTGGTCAAAAGCTTTACTTGCTAAGCATGCCTTATTAGTACAAGCTTTGGAGAATTCAAGGACATACATATAGTCAGTTAAATAGATTTGCCCTAAATACCTTAAGCGATCATCTTGCAATTTGGTTTGTCCTGAATTTGGCTCTTGTCCTGTAACTAAAGAAGCAATTTTGTTTGTAAAATTGTTGATATTTGGTCCTAATTCCATTAAAGCTAGGTAATCAGAAGGATAATCTCTGATAAAAGTTTCCCATAGGGCTTTAGCCATTGGACCTAAATAACAATGCCTCTCATGATAGCATAATACTTAAATTTCTGTCTTGGAGAAGTTGCTTTGCAATAATGTCTTCCGAATCCATTAAAGAAGGGCGTTGCGGGGGTGAAAATACAAAACGGCCCACAAACCGCCGTGTGGCCGACACGGGCAACTTCCCCATGCTAAATAGGTCATGTGACAACTGACAGAATGTTATTCGGACCTATAGGTTGGGATTTAGAGCCGAAAACGCCCAAAACTTAGTCGAAAAAGGACATTTCAGGGGAGAAAATTGAAAACTGCCCCCGAACCACAGTGTGGCCAACACGAACAACTTTCCCATGCCAAATATGACTTGTGACATTCGACGGAATGTTATCCGGACCCGTACGTTGGGATTTAGTCGAAAAAGGACATTTTGAGGGTAAAAATTCAAAACAGCCCTTGAACCGCCATGTGGCTGACACGAACAGCTTCCCCATGCAAAATATGACTTGTGACAACTGACGGAATGTTATTTGGACCTGTAGGTTGGGATTTAGAGACAAATACGACCAAAACATAGTCGGAAAACGGCGTTTCAGGGGCAAAAATTCAAAACAGCCCTTGAACCACCGTGTGGCCGACACGAACAGCTTCTCCATGCCAAATATGACTTGTGACAATAGACAGAATGTTATTCGGACCTGTAGGTTGGGATTTAGAGGCGAATACACCCAAAACTTAGTCGAAAAAGGATGTTTCGGGGGCGAAAATTCAAAACAGCCCTTGAACCACCGTGTGGCCAACGTGAACAGCTTCCACATGCAAAATAGGACTTGTTACAACTGACAGAATGTTATTCGGACCCATATGTTGGGATTTAGAGCTGAATACGCCCAAAACTTAGTCAGAAAATGGCATTTTGGGAGCGAAAATTGAAAGCAACCCCCGAACCGTCGTGTGGCCAACACGAACATCTTTCCCATGCCAAATAGGACTTGTGACAACTGACGGAATGTTATTCGGACCCGTAGGTTGGGATTTAGAGACGATTACGCTCAAAACTTAGTCGAAAAACGGCGTTTCGGGGGCAAAAATTCAAAACAGCCCTTGAACCACCGTGTGGCTGACACGAACAGCTTCCCCATGCCAAATATGACTTGTGACAACTGACGGAATGTTATTCGGACCCATAGATTGGGATTTAGAGCCGAATACGCCGAAAACCTAGCCGAAAAAAGGCGTTTTGGGGGCGAAAATTCAAAACAAGCCCTGAACCGCCGTGTGGCCTACGCGAACAGCTGTCCCATGCCAAATAGGACTTGTGACAACTGACGGAATGTTATTCAGACCCGCAAGTTGGGATTTAGAGCCGAATACGCCCTAAACTTAGGGGTTGTTTGGGATGATCTAAATAAGTGCACTTTTTGACTTTTTATAAAATATGGGTTGGGTTTGGGTTGTGTTTGAAGTGATGTGTTAGAGAGGTGATGTGACTTAAATAAGATGATGTGACTTAAATAGGATAGTGACTTTTTGACTTTTTAACTTTTTCACTTTTTCTAAACATGCCAAACTTGCCCTTAGTCGAAAAATGGCGTTTCGGGGGGCAAAAATTCAAAACAGCCCCCCGAACCTCCGTGTGGTTGACATGAACAACTTCCCCATGCCAAATATGACTTGTCACAACTGACGAAATGTTAGTCGGACCCATATGTTGGGATTTAGAGCCGAATATGCCCAAAATTTAGTCGAAAAATGGCGTTTTGGGGGCGAAAATTGAAAACAGCCTCCGAACCGTCGTGTGGCCGATACGAATAGCTTCTTCATACCAAATAGGGCTTGTGACAACTAACAAAATGTTATTCAGACCCGTAGGTTGGGATTTAGAGACGAATACGTCCAAAACTTAATCGAAAAACGGTGTTTCGAAGGCGAAAATTCAAAACATCCCTTGAACCGCCCTGTGGCTGACACGAACAGCTTCTCCATGCCAAATATGATTTGTGACAACTAACGAAATGTTATTCGGACCCATAAGTTGGGATTTAGAGCCAAATACGCCCAAAACTTAGTCGAAAAAGGGCGTTTGGGGGCGAAACTTCAAAATAGCCCTCGAACCTCCGTCTGACTCTCACGGGCAGCTTCCTCATTACAAATAGGACTTGTGACAACTGACGGAATGTATTGGAGATGTATAGTAATGAAAAATTATGGAAAAGATATTCAGAAACCAATATGAACTCAGTTTATGCCTTGTTACAAACTTGCTAATTTTTTGAACGTACACACGTGTGTTATATTATATTTAAGCTTTCATACAAGTATGAACCATGCTCATGGTGTTTCTGAGGCCATGTGCGTCATAAGATATCAAGTATTCTTTCTTTGATGAACCATTTATAGGTGTCTCAACATACATTTCTACATATTTCCTTTTATGATTGAAATTTATTTTTGTTATTATTTTTCTCACATATTCTAATATCCTTTCTGAAATGGCACTGACATACATTAATAAGCAGCGATGGTTTTATATCCAATCTAATGATTCAAGTGCCTTTTGAAAACAAATAATGAGGAAGTTGATAAAAAGAATACTTTTTATTCACATTGGGCTCTAATATTGGTTTAGCCACAGAATTTGGATACATGTTGCATACAAATAGAAGATTGTTACATTAGCTTTATGTTACTAATGAAAGATTTAGTAATGATTTTTCCGCATTTAACAATGTTCCTTAAAACAAAAGACTTTAGAAAGACTGTAGAATGACTGATAATTGATTCATCATGGAAGGTTGCTTCTCACTTATTTTTATTTGTCACTTGTTGCCAAATTCATCCATGAAGTTGGGCATTTCTAATTTTTTTTGTTTTTTGTAGATGACTTTGTTGCG